AGAAGTTTATAGACCAAAATCACTTGATGATATTGTAGGGAATGAGGAAATAATTAAATGTTTAAAATCATTTGAAAATCTAGATGCAACTACTTCAAACATGTTATTTTATGGGCCTCCGGGTGTGGGTAAGACTACTGCAATTAAGTGTCTTCTTAAAAGAAACTATTTAGAGTTAAATGCCAGTGATGACAGAGGAATACAAATAGTGAGGGAAAACATTAAAGAATATGCATCAATTAATAGCTTTAATTTTATTATACTTGATGAAGTTGATTCAATGAGCAGAGATGCACAAGGAGCTTTAAGAAGAATAATGGAAGATTTTTCAGATAGAGCTAGATTTATATTAATATGTAACTATCTAAATAAGATAATAGATCCAATTAAGAGTAGGTGTACTAAGTTTCGATTTAAGAAGGTTAGTGATACTAGTTATTTAAAAAAAATTTGTGAAAAAGAAAACATTGAGTATGAGGAATTAGCTTTAAAAATTATTTCTGAAAGTTCAAATGGTGATATGAGAAGAGTGATTAATACACTTTCAGGAGTGAGTTCATCATATAAAGTAATTAATGAAGTAAATACCTGTAAGTTTTTAAATATTTTAAATAGCAATCAAATTGATTTAATTTATAATAAATTAACAAATGAAGATGTTAAATACAATGAAGTGTTAAATTATTTTATAGAAAATGAAATTGAATTAAGTAATGTTATTAATCAACTAGCTGAAAAGATAGTTAAATCTGATTCAATAGATCCATCTAAAGTAATTAAAATAGCTCAAATAGAAGAAAGATTGTTAGTTAACTGTAACAATTCTCTTCAATTAAAAGCCTTTATAAAATTATTTAAATAAAATTTAGTAAAAATTTTATTAATTGAAATGCCATCAGTTAATAAAATCACGAAATTTAGTAATTTGTTATTTAAGTTATTTGATGTGACATTAGATGAGTATAAAAGCTTATTAATTGAATGTAATGGGTATATGAGAGAATTTAATATAGATAAATCAAACAGAAGAAGTTACATAGATAATATTCTTAAAATACTACTGAGAGTTCCACTAATAAGTAATGATTTAGTGAGTAATAAGAAGTTTATTAACAATTTAATACTTTCACTTAATAATAAAGACTTATTTAATACATCTATTGAAGTATTAATTATAATTATGAATACAGTTAAGAATGTACCTGAAATTATCAAGTCAAAGAAGTTTATTTTCTTTATAATTAATAAGTTGTTTCTATCTTTAGTAATTAAAGAGGATATTAAGAGTGATTTAGATATTCTTTATGAAGAAAATATAAAAGTAAGTAATCTTAATGATTTATCCAGGTTAATAATTAGATTTATTGATTGTTTACTAGTAAATAGTAAATCTAGTATTAGTATATGTTACTCACTTGGGTTGTTTAAACTACTTAATAGTTTAATATGTTATGAAGTATTAGAACTTTATAATAATATTTTTAAAAACATTGAAATTAATATATTTTATATGAATAAAGAAGAAGTGTTTAATAATGAAAGAATCACTAACAATGAAATTTATGAAATTAATAGAAAATATTTTGATACGGAGATTGTATTTAGAAATAAAGAAATATTCAGGTATAAAACAAATGATTCATTTTCAAATAGTATAATTTATATGGAAATTTACAAAAATTGTTTAGAAACTAATTTATTTCATTTTATTGATTTATCACCAATAAGACTTATAAACATGATTAATTACAAGGTGTTAAATAACAATAATATTAATAATTCTTTACTTACATCTTTTATTCAAATGTTTCAAGATGAAAAGAACATAAAAAGTAATACAGATGATATTAATATAATAGTTAGGTATTTTAGAAGAGTAGCACTTAGTAATTTTAGGAATGGAGATAAACTTTTATTTGATGATGAAAGTAAACATCTATTTGGTAAAAAATTAGTTAGTTTGATAAACAATACTAATAAAGGGGTTTTAATAAGAAATTCAGTTATTATACTTAGCTTCCTTAATTATCATACAAATCTTGATATTGATAAGTTATTTAAAACACTGGAATATAAATGTGAATATATTGAGGAAGACGTGTGTGAATGTGCCTTTATTGTAAATTTATTATTTAATTATTATAATAAAGAAAACAAATTATTTTATAAACCTTCATATCTAATTTTATTAAGAAATATAAGAGATCATTTAATAGAGTTTAATCATTTAATAGATGAGTATTTTACTGATTTTAATGAGTTTGTTTTACAAGATGATAATGTTATGAAAATATTTGTTAATAAGTAAAATTTATTATTTTTTAATCATAAAATATTTAGAGTTAAAATATTCGATAAAATAAGTAACAATTAATAAGATAAAAGAAAGTCCTAATAATACTCCTTTGAATCCTCTTAAATCAGTTAAAGATAATAATTGATTAATGTCTGGTATAACATTAAATATTCCACATACACCAACTGATATCAATCCTAATAAAGTTAAAAATAATATGTTATTTTCAAATAAATTCTCTCTAAATGGTGCTCCAATGTAATTAAAAGTGTAAATTGATATCACTTGAAATATGTTTAATAAGAATAACAAATTATTAAGAACTAAATCCTTTCCATCAACATTTTCTTTTTTAATTTCCTTATTAAAGTTTGATAAAACATCTAAATTATTAATAACAATAGAATTTGAGTTTCTATTAAAATAAAATAATAAAGAAAGAAATACAATTAAATGTAATAGAGATTGTGATACAATTGAATTAATTACATACTTAGTGAATATTGAAGTAATTACTCTACCCTTAGAAATATATTTCAATACTTTACCTCTTGATATTGAATTAAATGCTATTGTATTTAATAATCCCATAGCTACACTTTGTTTCTCAGTGAATCTCACATCATATAAATCTATTATTCCAGTAATAAACACTGAAATTAAACTATTTAAAGCTATAATCTTATACATTTGTAATGTTGTTATAGCAGATAATCTACCTTGTTGAATTATCTCAATAATTGATTTAAGACTGTTTGATTTTACTGTAAATGGTGATGAATAAATGATTAGATTGTTGTTTAAATCAGTTGATTCATTATTTTTAGTTTGATCACCATCAATTATAGACACACCTACATCTGATATTTTAAGTGCACTTATATCATTAGATCCATCACCTACCATCATTACACATTTATTTAATTCTTTATACTTTCGAATTATCAATTCCTTCTGATTAGGACTGGCTCTAGCAAATACGTTAAATTTCATAAAAGTATCACTTTTTAATATTTCATTGATATTTTCTCCTTCAACACCAACTGGTTTCATTCTTAATTTCTCTGCTATATTCATAGCAGTTAGTTTATTATCTCCTGTAATCATTACAACTTTATGCTTACTATTTCTAAGTATTTTACACATTTCTTTAGCATAAGGCTTTAATGAACTATTAAACAAAATAAATCCATCAAATATCAAATCTTCAATTAACTCATAATCGAATGGTGATTTATCAAAGGATTCAACTACTTTATGTGCAATAGATATTATTCTATATCCTCTTCTAGCATACTCTTTATAATCTTCATAACAATGAGGTATTTCTTTCAAATGTTTAATGATAACTTCTGGTGCTCCCTTAACTCCTATAAGATATTTATCATTTTCTTTAACTACAACCGTTTGTCTCTTTAACTCGCTACTAAATCCATAGTTTTTTATTACCTCATACTCAAATAATTGTTTTAACTTATTTAAATGTAACGCTATCGTCTTATCTAAAATATCACCTTTTAAATCATCCACTGTTAACTTTTCTAAATCGGAATTAAATATCAATGAATTACAAAATGATAATATCTTGTTGGTGTATTCAGTATCATATATTATCGAATTAATTTCTACATCTGAATTCGTAAGTGTACCAGTCTTATCAAAACAACACACATCTAACTTACCCGCTAATCCAATCCTGTAAGACTCAGTACAATAGATTTTTTTACTTAAACATTCTTTAACAGCAGATTGTAAACTAATTCCCATTTCTATAGGTAACTCAATTGGTATTGAATTAGTAAAAAGTATTATCATATCTAATAATAACTGATAACCTTTCTTTTTACTAAAAAATGGCAATAATAAAGAATTAATTAATCCTATTATAGACATGATTATAACAAATTTAAGTGCTTCCTTATCATAAGTTATGTCTTCGGATTTTATAATAGTATTTAACAGTTTACCCTGCTCAGTGTAATAACCAGTGTTCTTTACATAACAAACCAAGTTCTCTGTTACTGTTTCAATTTCAGTTCCTGAGTATAAAATATTATTTTTATTTATACTCACATCCATTAAAATACTATTTTTTATTATTGGTACTGATTCACCAGATAAAATTGATTCATTAACAACACATGATCCACTCTTTATAATTAAATCACATGGAATTATACCTTCTTTAATTTCAATAATATCACCTGTTTTTAATTTTTCTTGTGAAACGTTCAACTTTTTTATATTTCGATAATCATTACCAAAGTATAAAAGTTTGAATTTTCTACTGGCTGTTTTCTTGTATTGTCCCATCATTTTAACTGTAACCATCTTATTTACAGTCATCATAATCTCAGTTACAATATTAAAGAATATTCCTAGAAGTGGCTGATAAAAGTAATCATCAAATATCTGTAATATTGATGTAAATATCTGAAAACAAAACATAGGTGATATACATTGTTTAAATAACAATTCAAAGAAACTATCTCTCTTAATTATTATTTTGTTATTTGGATAAATATCATATTTGTCATGTTTTATCTTCAAATTAATTATTTCATTACTGGTACACTCGTAAAATTTAAGTTTTTCAATTTTACCACTAATAAGTAAGTATATATTGTTATTAAATATAAATTTAAATCCTTCCTTTATCTTAACTAATCTACATAGTGTATCCTGATAGAACAAGTACTCACCATTAATATTGTAGCTATAACATTGTATTAAAAGAGATTTTATGTTCCAATATGTACTCAGTTTCATTAAAAATGAGGCAAATAAGATTAACACCGTTAATTCTCTATTAAAACTCGTCTTTATACTGATTGGTATGAGTATTAATATCATGATATAAATATGTAGGTGTATTGGTCTATAATTATATCTTTCAACCATTTCTCTTTTATCTTGTTTCATTTATTATTTTTTAATAAAATTTTATGTGTTTTTTATAAATTAGAATTGTAATTATTTTTTATAAACTAGAATTGTAATTATTTTTTATAAAAAGTATGTAATGTTTAACTAAAATACAGATTTCTAAACCAACAACATTAATTAAATTAATCTTTAAAGCTTATCTTTTATTGATTTATTTTCTCTTAGAGAGTATTAAATTTATGCAATTTAAATTTTTATATATTTGTGAAATTTGTTTCTTTTAACAAACAAAATATATTATTATGTTATTAATAAAGTTATCATTAATAAAAATACCTTTTAATTTAAAAATTTCAACTAAATGATGTTGTAAAAATAAAAGAAGTAAAATATTATGAAAACTCTATTTTAAATTACAATATTAAAAATTTGAATCAAATATGTTTTTTTAATCAAATTAACAAACATTATTATTTTAAATATTAAAAATAATCAATTAATAATAATAAAGATAAATAACACTTTTAAAGAAGTATGAAGTTTTAAAAAATTAAACAATTTTTAATAAAGATTTAAATTTATAAATAACAATCTAGTTAATTTAAGTATGAATTTTCAATGTTTATAAAGAATTTTTTTTACATCTCTAAAAAGATTATTTACACAAACATTAAAAACACTAATAAAACTAATTCTAAGTTTTAATTAAAGAACTGTTTTAATATCAATTTAAAAATAAAACTTAAGAAATTTTAGATAAAAATTTTATAAAACAAGGTTTTAATAATTTTAATTATAAAATAACTATTTGTAAAATTACATCAAAGTTACTTTTATTTTTTTTCATAATTTTAATAATAAATATTTCAATTATAATTTAATAAACAATATAATTAATGTATTAAAATAGTATAATATGAAAAAAATTAAATCTCTTAATATTATATTTCTATTCATTTACTAAAATTAAGATAAAATCATTAAATGTTATCAAAAGTTATATAAAGCTTTCTTATTATTTTATAATTAAAAACGTTACTTTAAAATATAAAAAACACTAAAATCTATAAGTATTAAGAAAAAGAATTTTTTAACTTACAATTTAAATCTTAAAAACAAATAAGTAATTTTATAAATTTTACAACTATTTAGTAATTTGTTTTCATTAATAAAACCAGTTATATTTAGATAATGAGGAGTTACTTAGTAGATTAACTTATAATATTAATGAATTTACTTTTTGATGTTTCAAATAACAACTAAAAACTCTTTCTTATCAATAAAAATTTTATTATTTTTTAATAAAAAGTATATTGAAAACATACTTTTTATTAAAATTTTCTCTTAAAACTCTAATAATTGGAAGAAAAAACTAATTATTTAAATATTAAAGAATCTGTTTAAGATATGATAGTTGCTCAATTAAAAAATTATCATCGTAATATGTAATAAGCATATTGAACTAGTTTATTAAATGAATGTTTTTTTTAATTAAAGTGTTTATAAATTTGATACAAAAATGACAGATACAGTGTTAGAAAACCAAGTAATTAATATTAATAAAGTAAAATGAACTATAAATAAAGAGTATTTCTACAGATAAGTTAAATAAATTAGTTTCTTTACCTTCTGAAGGTTTTATTAATAATCATAAAATATCAAATACTTTAAATATAAAAAAAATAATAATTTAAATTATCTAATATTAAATTTTTAAACTAAAAACAAGTCAAAATTCAATAAAATAAACATTTCATTAAAAATAAATTTTTAAATAAAATTTTATTTTTAACCCACAAAAACAATAAAATGATTAAAAAGGAACAAAGCAATTTATTAAATAATCAAGATAAAGAAGAAGAAAACAGTGATACAATGAGTATGACTAATTCTGACTATTCAAGTCATAGTGGATCAGATTCATCAGATTCAAGTAATAGTTCTTATTATTCAAGTAGCGAAGAAAGTTCAGATTAAATAAAATAAGTTTGAAATTTTTATAAAAGAATTTTAATCAAATGAGTACATCAATTATATTAGTATTTGGAGCAGCTGGAGCAGGAAAGACAACATTCTGTAAGAAAATGAAAGAATCATTAAATTATAAACTAATAAACATAGATCCAGCCCAAGAGTCTCAGTCAAATAACATAACGTATGATCATGATATAGTTGACTATATAACAGTAGATGAAGTAATGAATGAAATGGACTTTGGACCAAATGGGGGATTATTTGAGTGTTTAAGACAAATGGTAGAGGCATTAAATGAACCAAGTGATTTTATGAACTCACTAATAGAAGATGATATTTATGTTGTTGATTGCCCTGGTCAAATAGAACTATTTTTACACTCAGAAGTGATGATTGATTTGATAGAATTTTTTAAATCAAAAACACAGAACATTTTGATAACTTATTTAATAGAATCATCAAATTTTGAAAATGATAAAATCTTGTATTCATCACTCTGTTCATCAATAAGTTTATCAAGATTTTACTTACCTGTGATAAACATTCTTTCAAAAGCAGATCAATTGAAAGAAGAAATAGATTTTGATAGAATTTATTCAATAGAAGAATTTATTAAAGGAAAAAAAACTAAATTTATACAGACATGTATTGATTATGTTGATATGAATGGATATGGATCATATTTACCTCTTAACTGGACAGAACCTTCTTCAATTAACTTACTATCATCACAAATAGATATTATTTTACAAAGGGATGATCAAATTGATAATAAAAACTAATTAACCAATTTAAGATTATTTGTTTATTTAATTTATTTTTCTTTAATTAACGTAAAAAATGGAGGTGAAGTTAATAAATAATAAAGAAAGAATTAAAAGAAAAGAGAAATTACTAATAGCAGTACTAGGAGAAGAGAATACAAATAAGACAGAATTAATAAAGGCTTTAACAAAACAAGATCCTAAGAAAGAAACAATGATGGACACATACACAGAGAGAATTAGAAATAATAATTTAGAGTATAAAGTAGTATTTTGTGATATTAAATATTCAAATGAACAATTTGAGAAATCACTCATTAAAGTATCTGATATCATTATGTTGGTGTATTCAACAAATAGTGAGAGTAGTGTTGAAAAAATAAAAATATACTCTGAATTGATAAAAAGTATAAATTCTAAATCAGCAATCATTTTAATAGGAAATGAAGAAAATCAACTAAAAGATGAAATTATAACTAATTATTCATTTATCGTATCAACTCCAACAAATGAAGGTATAAAAAAGTTAAGAGAATTTCTAACTAAATACTCCTATAAACAATTTCATATAAAACAAGAAGATTCTTCATGTAATTCAATTACATCTTGTTGGAATTGGTTTTTAGAGTTAGTTAATCTAAGAAATAATTTTTACAGATAAATAAAATTCTAAGTGATTAATTTAATAAAAATTTATTTAATAATAAATGAATCTTAAAGAATCTCTCAAGACTAAAATAGTAAAGGAAGTGTTGACTTTGTATGAAAATACTTGGTTTGTATTAGGTTATGATTTTGTTGGAGGTAGTATTATATCTGATTTCTTTAAGAAAAGTGAATTAGTTGATTATTCTATCTTTACTACTTTTCTTATTAAAATGAAGAAGTATCAAATGGACTACCCAATTGTTTATTTTGTTGAAAACACTCCTGAGAACTACAAGACTATTAAGAAAGAGTTTGATAAAAAGTTATTTTCTAAGACAATAGTAGTAGTTATTGGTGATAAGGAAGATTCTTATTTTTCTAATCAAACTAATCTATTTAAAGTTATTTACTTTAATTGTTTAATTAAACCAATTGAAGAGAGGATTTTTATTAACAATAACATTCAAATGATTCCTAAATATTTAGAAGAGTTATTTAAGAAAGGTTTTAATGTTTTTAGTTCTTTGAATTTAAAAGATCATTATGATTTTAATGATAGTAGTTTTTCTGTTAGTGGTGATTTATTAATATTAGATAGATCTTTTGATTATTTTACTCCTTTAATTCACTTCCTCACCTACAAATCAATGTTATATGAAATTGATTCCAATGATGATTCATTAAATGAATTTAAAAATGATGTATTATGGCCTGATCTTAGATATCAACATACTGCAAATATTAACAATATTCTTAAATACCATATTAATAAACTAACATCTAATATGGAAAAATTAAACAAAGAGGGGTCAATTGGTGAACTTTCTAAAATGGTTATGGATGCTCCTGAAAATTCCAAAATTAAAGAAAGTATAAATAGACATTCTAAAAGTTTGCAAGATTGTTTTACTAAATTAGAAAAGTTACAAGCTAAAACTTCAGAGGATCCTTATTTTAAGAATTTAATTGAATCTGAACTGATATTAGCAACTAACAGAAGACAGGGTGAGAAAGTCTCTAAATTTGAATTATCTAGTATTTTTGAAATATTCCAGAATACTTCTATTGCTAAAGATGATAAATTAAGATTACTTTATTTACTTAAGTTGAAAAATCTTAAATTTACAGCTACTGAAATGAACATTCTACAGCAATTTGGATTTAAGTCTGAGGATATTAATTTGAAAATTGATACTTCTAATCAGTATAAAAGAAAAGAATTTAAACAGATTAGCAAGTTTGAAATTTCTAGGTTTGAGCCTTTTCTTAGAGATATAATTTTAGAATTTTTATCTGATGATCATTCCTTTTTTAGTAAAAATAATAATTTAAGTGTTAAAGAAAAAAAGGACAATGTTTTTAGTTTAAGAAGAACTAAAATGATTTAAGTGTTAAAGAAAAAAAGGACAATGTTTTTAGTTTAAGAAGAACTAAAATGATTACAAGTGTTAATAAAACTAAAAACAAGAAAATGATAGCTGTTTATATAAAAGATGGAATTACTATTGAGGAGTGTAGAATTGTTTATGATTTAAGTCAGTATTTGGGTGTTGATATTATTTTAGGAAGTGATAAAATTTTAAAACCTGCAGAAATTATTAATGATTTAAGATCAAGATTAGAAAAACTTTTATCAAATGATAAGCTTAAAAAATAAAAAATTTTTTAATTACAATAAAGACGTCTTTCATATTTATCATATTCAGAATTTACATTTAAGAAAGAACTAAATACGTAATCATGAAGTGATAAACTGATATTTTTATTTGTATTAAAAATATTAATACCAAATTCTGGATTAGCTTCATCATTTGAAACAACTTTATCATTCATGGTATACAAATTACTATCAATAATGTTTATATCTGAAAATTCTAATACTAATTCACAGCATATGCTATCTTCTAATTTACAATCTCCCTTCTCTATAAAATAAGAAACTCTAAATGCACTGCAACATTGAAAACGTTCAGTTTTGTATTTAATAAGTTTAACATTAAAAATATTATTAAAACGATCAATAAATTTCTCTGTTATTTCTGTTGACATTCTAGTAGAAGGAATTAAATTTAAGATATTGAAATTATCAAGTACATCAAAAGTAACCTTATAAATTTTTTCATCAACAGTTCTTTGACATTCTATAAGTTTATAACTATAAGTAGTTAATTCATGATATTCTTCTGTTTTAACACTTATAATTTCAGATACTTTATGCTTATTTTTAAGTAATGATTTTATACTTATTTCTCTATTACTATAATCTTGAAAAGTTTTATCACTGTTTTCATTTATAAATTGTATTGAATTTTTAGAGACAAACTGTACTTCTTCTTCGTAATCATCAAAAGTAATCCTTCTTGCTACAGAAGACTTTGAATTTTGTTCATTATAAAGTGAATCAAAACTACCACTATTTTGATTTAATCGAAATTCATAATTATTATTACTATCATCTGTTCTTCTTTTTTTTGCTGGTATTTCATCATTGTTTTGTGAGTTACTTTCAGACTTACGCAGAAAACTAGCACTAGTACCTGGTTTATTTTCATCATCCGGATCAGTTGATAAAATCTGAGATAATAAAAAAATCTTTAACAATTCTTGTTTCATTTTTAGAAATTAAAGGGTTTAAAATTTTTGAATAAAAATTAGGTTTAAATTTTTTAATGTTTGATTTATTTGACAGGTGTTTATAAAAGTAAATTTTTAATAATTATATTTGAAATATTATTAAGAAATTATTAATGATATTGTCGTAATAATTGAGATTATTAGATTAAGTGATGTAATTTTTTTATACATATAATTTTCTCACTAGTTTTATATTTATTTCTTTTATATGATTTTACTCATAAATATTAACAAAAAAGACGATGATAGAGATAATGTTAATAAAGGCTCAATAAATGAAGATGATAAGAGAGTCAAAGACGATGATAGAGAGATTATAAGCGATAAATTGAATAAACTTGGTTGTTCATCCTCTACCGATTTCGATAAATACTTATAAATTTATTTTAATAATTACCGAAACCAGTATTTGATGTACAAACAAATTTATTTAATCTATTTCTACTGCTTATCTTATCGTCACTCATTGTCTCTTCATCATCTATATAATCATCATCTATCCTTTGATTATCTAATTTCATGGGTTTGTTTAATATTGGAAAATATATATTATAAAATAAATATATAAATTTTGTTTGACATGTTGGAAGTAATATTTCACAAATTACGACGATAATTAAACAGTTTTTAATGTTTAAATAAGTAATTAATAGGTGAATGTAGAATTTTTTAAAAATTTGAAAATTGAAAAAATTTTTTTAAGATTAAAGCATATTTTTGAGTTTAAAACACTTTCACCTTAGGTGTATTAAAATGTTTTTTAATTTAATGTAAACTTATACTATTAATAAAATAAAACATATGATATATTTCTTATTTTAAATATTTATTAAGAATAAGAAATATTTTAAGAAACTTATAATGTTATTATCAATCACGTAATTCTAGTATTGTTAGTTTTTTTAAATGTTAATTGGAAATAATTTTTTATTAATGATACCATTAGATATAAAAACCTATTAAAATAAAATTTTTAATTATCTTAATATTTTCTAATAATTATTTGTTAGAATAGCAGTATATTTTTTTAAAAAGTCTATTTATATTAACTAAAAAACTTTATGTGATGTCATGCATCATATATGAAAAATATGATTTTTATTTACTGTAAAAAGAAAATTTAAGTAATAAAGTATATGTTAAGAAAAGATTTTAAGTTTACAAAAAAGGAAGATAAGAAAAGGTCTTTTTATTCATCAATTCTATCATATGTTTCATAAAACACACCAATATTTAAATAAAATCTAAATAAATTATGATATTCATAATAGTCGTTACTTAAAATAAAACCATTATATACACAATCATTATTTATAACAAGCTCATTTAAATTTTTTCTTTCAAAGTTTAAATTATTTAAATCTTCGGTAAAAACATTTAAATCTATTTCATACAAATCATTAGATTCAGTTATATTAATTTTCTTTTCAATAAAACAAGAAAGTCTAATTACTTTTAAAGGTATACGATTAGTATTAACATATACAATGTTTTTTACATTAAATATTCTATTAAAACGAGTATAAATATTTTGTAATTTATACAAATTGTTTTTATAAAACGGTAATACATTTACAAATCTTGATTCTGGAATCAAATCAAATGTAATTTTATCATAACTTTTACCAGGATATTTTTCATAGTCAACAAGTCTATTTTCATATCTTTTTAGTTTATCATATTCATCAAATCCTACATTTATCATTTGATCCGTGTTAATGTTTGATTCAGTTACTAATGATTCTACAGTAATCACCTTTTTAAATTCTTTAATCCTATTAGTTAATTCTTCTTTGATCACCAATAATACTTTACGCCTTTTATGATCTGTTGAACAATCTCTATTTGATAATAACATATCTGTATCTTTTAATGTTTCTTTCAACTTATTAATAGACATAGAATCATAAATATAGTTAGAAGATTTATTTTTTAAATCATAACTATTACTTTCTGTTTTAAATATTAAATTTTTCAAAACGATAGCTTCATTGTCTAACAAAGTTCCATAAGATAAACTTGTTGATAAAACTTGAGATAATAACAACATATTGATCAATATAAGCTTCATTTTTAAATATTTAAGGGGTATTTTTTTTCAAATTAAAAGAATTTATCATTGATTTATTTGACATTTAATTAAAAAATTATAGTGATTTTATGATAAAATTTAATGATTATACCGAAATCGATAGAAGATGAATAACTAAGTTTATAAACCCTATTATTATCAGATGTACCTTTATTATTCATTATTCAATCCATTTTCGGTATCTTCTATCATATAATCCATATCTCTCTATCTCAGTATTATTAACTTTCTTAATTAACATTTTTTAACAAATAAATATCTGTTTTGATAACTAACTCAAAACTCAATCTTCAAGATTTTACGAAAAATTAAATAAACATTAATTATAACTAAAAATTTTTAAAGAAAAGTGTAGTTGTACATTTTTTCATTAAATTGTAAAAGTTTAGTAAATAAATTGAGGTATAATTTTACTAAATTTCTAAGAATTTGAACTCATAAAATATCAATATTAAAAATAAAACTTTTGATACAATTTTTAACTTTTAAAAAATCTATATTTTCTATTTAAATAGTTAAAAAAGTAATTAATTGATTATTTATAGAGTTTGAATAATTTTACATAAAAATTTTAGGATCAAGTCCCTTTTTTCCTTACGTGAAGAAAAAGAGACTTAATAATATAAAAAATACAATTAAATATTTTTTAATGTATTTTTTAACGCATTTTTAAACACATGAATCATTGTATAACAGTATTTTAGAACCGCTTTGATCGGACTAACTAAAAACTTGAAAGATTTTCTTTACACCAAGGACGTATTGAAGAGGTACGTGAAGTGTGTATCTTGTCAACAAGATATGGAAACTAGATTATATTCTAGAAATAGAGACTGAGTAGCATTTAGGTGTATTAACTACAGTAAATACATTTTAATTCGAATTGTGTCACTATTATCAAGTTTTAATGTACCTCTGAGTAGCATACTACAGATATGTTATAAATGGTTTAACAACCAAACTCAACTAAAAATAAGATCAGAGGTGAATGTGGGAAGAAAGATAATTATGAAAATAATTAATCTTCACAAATATGGGGTTTAAAACATGCCACTGAAAACCCGCTTTGCCTCGTAAGTGGTGGTATGGTTGTGCAAATAGATGAAAGTCTATTTCGACACAAACAAAATTACCATCGTGTTAGACAACCAAGAATAGAGATATGGGTATTTGTTTTGGCAGATGTGTAATTCACCCTAGCTATAATCTCATTGCATGTTGTTCCCAATAGGGCTGCCTCCATGCTTTTACCAATAATAGAAGAAGTTTGTTTACTTGGGAGTGTGATACACTTTGATGAATGGCGTACTTTTACACGTATTGGCAATAGTAATTTATAATTTTCTCATTTTACTGTCAATCATAGTGAAACCTTTTGAACCACTAAACCGGTGTTCAGGCTCAGAACATTGAAAATACATGGAATAAATTCAAGTATGTTCTAAAAATACACAAAGATATTATGGCATCAAAGGTTAATTTATTGCTAAAAGAACTAGTTTGGAAAACTAATTTTGGATTTAATAAGAACTTTGAAGAATTATTAATATTGTTAAGATTTTAATAAATTTGGTTTTATTGTTTCTTTATTATTTTATTTTTCTGGGAAAAAAGGACTTGTTTTTGTTTTGGGAAGAAAAAAGGGAGTTGATCTAAGTTTTACAGTTTTTT